CCCCAAAACCCCAAAACCCCAAAACCCCAAAACCCCAGCTGAATAGCTGAGAATTGATGAGTAAGATATTTTTATTTTTCCACTTCTGAATCACTGGAGATATCTGATGATTCTGCAGACATATAGAGACTCTGACTTGCGACTTCAAGAGCAGACTCCCAGATCTGCTTCTCGACTCCATCACTTTGAAAGTTGAAGCTTCCAAATCTTTTATATTTCTCTGTTTTTTCTTGTTTCTGAGATAGCATTTCATTCATTTTGTAATTAGAGAAGTTACAGTATTCATTTTTCAGCATCTTAGCACTTTCTTCTTTATATTTTTTAGACTTCAAGGCATCGATTTCCTTGAAAGCTAAAATCTCTTTAGCAAAGGTTTGAATTGATTGGATATTCTCTAATTCTAGCCCATATCAGGTATGGACTGTCCAGTTCATGTATAATACATTATGCTCAGTGTCGAACATTTTATGGAAATAATTCTCGAAGCCATCATAAACTCATGGATGAACCTCTCTAGCCATTAGGAGTTGGTCATCTTCAGTGATTCTGTAGTACTTATCATCATCTTCTGCCTCTTTTTCTCCATAAAATTGAGCACTTTCAAGTCTTTTGTGCCTTCGTGTAGAATGAGTATCAAAAATAGTGACATGTTTCTCTTCGAACGGAATGAATGTCCACAACTGGCTAAACCTTTCCTCTTTCTTCAGCTTCAGATCATCACTAAAGTAATCAGGAATTATCCTGACGGGCTTCGATACTCTGAAGATGAAAAAATTTCAGATCTTTGTTCTAATAGTAAAATCATAAAGGCAGAGGGGCCAATTGATGTTACATTTTATTTCATTGCATGAGAGCCGGTCATCTGCATTATCATAATCGAAATTAGTATCTTTATTTTTATTCAACCTTATTGCCTTATTTAGAAAGAAGAACTTGTTCAATATCTTCACACGTTTGAGTACAGAAGAGTCTCCATCTGTTGGACAAACAGACCTGGAGTTGTTTAGCCAGACCTTCTTCTGTTGATTGATAATTCCAGGTCTATACTTTTCCCTCAATTTTGATATCAAATTAGGCTTGATTTTCATAAATTTCTGGTAATGCTTGAGAATCATTTCAGGATCTTTGATAACCTCTTTTGTCCTAGTTTCCATAGTGATGTACATCTCACTAAAATCTGTATGTTTCATTAATTCTGAAGACATAATTTCAAGTATTGCAAGCGAAGCCCAGAAAATAGCAGAAGATCCATGCAGAAAAATTAGATCCCAAATAGTTTCAGCTATTTCCTGTTCTACTGTTCAGGAAAGTAAGCAAACAAACCACTGAAAGGTAATAAGAGGGAAGTCTACTCCGTTTGCTTTGAGATGATTAAATAGTTTCTTCAATTTATTTCTGTATCAACACTACTAACACTTTCTGATCAACAAGAACCTCAGTCATTAGGGAAAAATAGTCAAGTGGAAGGATATTCTCGAGAAGACTTCACATTATCCAGAAGGCTTGTTCTTCATTATGAACTACCCTTACGATCATCCCTGCGAGAAAGTTCATTCCTTGGCAGTAACCCACAGTTGAGTTCCTTTTAGAATACGATACAAGAATTCTAAGTAACTTTTTGAGAAATTCTTCACGATTAATCATTTCATTATCCCCAAATGTCCTGTTAATGTCTAAAACTATTTGATCCTGGTATAAATTTGGCATGTCTGGATATGAATCCAACAAAGGTCTTCAGATATCTATAATTAGTAGAATCCATTACCTTCATCGCTTATGCTATCTCGCCTCTCCTTAAATTCAGGGTTCTCGTCACTAGACTTCTGTTCGTCCTCGATATATGGTTTGAGAGTGTAATAGCCAATATTATTTCTTCTTTGTCTTTCTCCACCACTTGCAAGCGTCCAAAGCTTCGTGCGATAAGCTTTGGGAAATCCTCAGTTTTGAAAAATTAGTTTTGCCATTTGCTCTTTTTCTTTCTCAGTCATAGATCCATACTTCTGAGATCTCCTAAGAATCGCTCGCATTTGCTTAACATAGTTATTTTCTGATGAATGAGAACTCTCTGAAGTACCCCTTCTTAACTTATTTATCTTTTGGAAAATTTTGTCCTTAACAATCCCTAAAAATCCCGATTTTTTGCCATCTTGAGAACCGAAAGAAGCATTATTTCTTCTTTTCTTTGATGGAAAGACTCTCTCAATAATTTCAAAATTCCGCTCCTAAAAATGACTCAAAGACCTCACTTGTATAAAGCTTCTGGATATATTAGATATTGCACTGAGCCTGCGGCCTGAATCTTCCTCTAAATCTTCTTCTTCATCAGAGCAGGCGTCAAATGTTGTTTTTCGAAACCTTTTGCCAACTATTTTGGTGATCATGGGCTTACTTGTTTTCTTCAGATTCTCTTCGCCTTCGTAGTAAAAATCTAATTCATGGATTTAGGTCAAATTATATTATTTTAGCCAAAGGATATCTGATGTGATACCAACCATTTAGAGATAATTTTGAGAATCATGTGCATTCTTGATTAGCAAAAAAATTCAGGAAAATAAAGGTAATTAGCCAGATTTGTATTAAAAGGTGAGTGATTGGTTTAACCCTATTCTTACCTTCATAACATTCCTTCAGTCTTTTCTTCGGCTTATCAAGTACGCTATGTGTATATTCGTCTAAATTAATTACAATTATAGAAACTTGAAATTGTATCATCTATATGAATAGTACCTTCACTAAAACTGCTGAATTTCATTCTTCTTAATCTCCCTCTCTTTTGTTCTGTCATATCTATGAAAAGTAAGCAAACTACTCATTAAATCATGACGTAGTCAGTACAGTTCTGAGGATCTTTGAGATATTCTCTGACAAATTCATGAAGCACTTAAGTGCTCATGAGAACTCAGAATGGAAAATCGTGACTGAGATCTTTAACGACTCATTGCTACTAATACCTAGATGTAACTTACCAGTTTCCATTTCCATTTTCGGTAGGAATAACTTTTAGTCAATTATTTATAACCATTAGGGGTTTTGGGGTTTTGGGGTTTTGGGGTTTTGGGG